ATCGTCATGGATCGGCAGGCCGGATAGATCGACGATGTCACGTGACCCGTAATTTTCGTGGCCGCCCTGGTGGATTCCATAATTATTAGGGTTAGAAAAGAACTTCTATAGTAAAATTATGGGATGAATCTTTTTCTCAGAGACAAAATTTTATAATAAAGGAAATTTTTTTCATGATCGACAAAACCTGGCACAGGGTCTCAGTATTACTGCATCGGTATCAAACTGTTATAGTTATACTTGCAGCTAAACCCAAAATTATTATAGTTCGGGTTTGCCCACGCCCAAATCCCAAATTCTGGCCAAACTAATAACTTATTTAAACAAATGGATACCGTTATGTGAAAACCCGAAGTCTAAAACTAAAAATAGAATTCTTTATATAACGGAATGCGGGCTTTAACCGATCTGACTAGAGCCCATATTTAATTGTCCAAAGAATTTTATTTTTAGACATCCCGGTTTTCAGATAACAGTAAATGGCATATATTCTCATATATAGTGTCACGGATGATAATGTATGTTTTTTGTGAAAAGTGGATTTTAGGCTTGTGTTTTCAAATCGAAACATCTAAATTCCAACATAATCCGATTTTAGCATCATCCGTGACATATAATATATTTACAGAAATGTCAAGACGATTTTTTTTGGTTTAATTTTTTTATAAATGGCAATTGCTTTTTTCGGGTTTGAAATTTGTCCGGGGTTTGCCGACAAGTGTACGTAATTGTGAATTTCTAAATTCAGTACAGTAAATACGTATTTAGCATGAATGACAAATCATACTATCTGAAATTTTTTAACCCGTGTTATGTTATCACTCAGACAACTAGGATGAATAATGCAAAACTTTATTGTTGTGCATACGGATCTAATGTAACAACCTGTTCTTTTTGGAGTATATAGCAGTTATGCAATGATGGTAGAAATTGAGATAGTAAATACGTTTCATGAGAGTTCTTTAATGCAAATAGTTTTTTTTTCCTATAATCAATTCTTACTCTAATACTATAACACGAGAAAAAAATGTATTAGCACTCACCGTAACCCCTATTTAACTATCAAAAGGAGTGCATTTATAAAGGATAAATTTTGTAAATCTTGGTTATCTTAACCATGCAAATTTTCTGTATTTCTGTAAATGCCTTTTTTGACTCATTTTGTTTGCATGTGTTTGAAAAAGAACTAAACGGGACACTTTCACATTTTATCAAATATGAAAATATGAAAGTACGCCAACTTGTCTATTTTGAAATGACCACGCTGAAACACTTTCGTATTGATGAAATACGGAAGTGATTCGAATTGGTTCTCATTAAATGGCTGATTTTTTAAAATTGTCGTAAGTTTTTTTTTAAAATTTGGTTACATGTTAATAAGTCTTCGTTTTTTTTAAAAAAAATTTTTTTAAAAAAAAATTCCTATTAGACAGAATCACTTTCTTTAAATTTTTTGAAGTATTCTTAAGTTTTTGCTTCCTTTAAAATTCTCGAAACAGCCAGGGCGGCCCCCCAAAAGTGCCAGTGACATAAGATCAATTAGGGCAACTTATTGGTTCTTTTCTAGCCGCATATTGTAGATCATTTTTTTTTTAGATACATAGCAATTGTTCGTAATTCAATATTGCAATATATATAAAGTGGCTGTGCCATTATTACGTCACTGGCTGCCTCAAAATTCTCTCATTAGGCAGAATTATACGTTATTAAGTCTTCACATTTTTTGGGACAAAGTCATATGTTATTTGAATATGTTATTTGAGTTAAACGAAGTCACAACATAACATTAAAATTCTTACTGGACAGGATCACACATAACACATCACTAATCATTATCACTAGGTATTTTCTCTTGCTTTAAAATTCCTATTAGATGAACTTGGCTTCTTCAGTTCAATTATTCGATATTTTAATTCTTTATGACAATACTATTAAAAAATACTACATATTAAAAAATTGACTTTTTTTGTTGATATGAAAGATGCCTTGCAGTTTGTTACATCAAACCTGAATAAATATTTTCCGATTAGTATATTTGTAATAAAATCCTTTATAAATAATCAAATAAAGATATAATTTCAATAAAGGACACGGAAAAAAAAAAAACACTTTACTTTCACTGACACATAACGTCAAATGGATACGGAAATAATGTACGTACAGTACCTTTGTATTTGGTATGGTTGAAAATCTTAATTTAAAAAAAATGTGCTTTGCGCAAATGAGATTATAATATGAAACACGTGCCATACTTTAATACGTAGTTGTAATAACGTTGGACACATTATGCTGATACGTATGTACATAAACGGAATAGCTTAAACAAGAAAGTGTTAATATTTATATTAGCAAATTATCATTAAGGTTACCATTAAAGTAACTACGTATTAAAGTAGTACGTACGTATGAAATAATTATCATAAATGATCATAAATGGTGCGTACGATTTTTTTTAAAAAAAATCCGGGTATTTTTTAGAATTTCAATAATGAATATCTTTAATATACATACGTACGTACGTACGTAATTACGTACACGCACAGAGCAATAACGTATGGACGTACGTACTTACTTACCAGTTACGTTGTAACTAATTTAATGAACATCTGTATTTTTCAATATCATAAACTATTTTTTTTTTTTCTTTGTGGAATTGCGATAATGCGCATACAAATGCAGATCGAAAAATGGAATTAAATTCTAAGGCTAACCAAATAAGGAGTAATTCGTACACCTTTTAATGATAAATAGATTGTTTTCTAAAACTCGAGGACTGGTAATACCTTTTTACGTAAAAATATTTTCCATAAATAAAGTCAGACATACCTAAACAAGTTAAGGATCCACAAAATCTTAAGTAGGACTAAATGTATTAATGAAATCTTTGATTCGCATAGCCACATTAAAATCTGTGACTAGTATGGAATTTCTTAAATTGACTGGGTAGAATGTGTTACAGCATTTATAAAGCATATAACGCATTTTTATTATTATTAAAATTTATTTACGTATTTATTTTCTTCTTTTCTCTCACTTCCCCAAGCAATTATTTCAAATAAGGGAAAAGCAAGCGAATGCGGTTTTGAAAATTAATTTCATTTTTTTCTATTTCATTCATATCTTGCCGTATCATTGAAACACCATTCATTCATATTCCTTTAAGATCTTTTTTGAATTACTCAAATAATTTCTCCTTTTTTTTTTTTTCTTTTTTTACAAACTATCATTAATAATCAAATATTAATCGCATTTAAAATTTTTAATTTTTACCTAAAGTTTATATAAAGTTTATATAAAGATTATATAAAGATTATATAAAGATTATATAAAAATTATTACAAATGTTTCAAAAAATAAAAAACTATAAAAAAAACACTCAAAAAAATGTTGTTGATGTATCAAAAAAAGATAAAGGAATTATTTCTAGGAATGGTGGAAGTTTAAGAAGAAGTTGGAGTGCTATAAGAAAACAAAAGAGAGATATTGAACAAATGGTTACTTTAAATGAAGCTTATTCAATTATTCATTTATGTGCTGGGGAAGTATTATCAAGAGGTTAGTATCTTATTATTAAAAGTTTTATAAAGAGTTCTTGTCAAAAAAATTAATCGCGTGAAATAAATTAAATAAATTAAATAAATTAAATAAATTAAATAAATAGGATTAGGTGAAGATAATTTATTCTCACCTGTTGATAATGAGGATAACCCTGATGAGGTCAGGTACCTTATCAATTGCCTTTTACGTGAAAATCATACGGAATTCGAAGATGAACTTAAGTTTCAAGACATTCGTAATATAGTCTCCGGTATTAGGTGGACTCTTAGAAGATGTGTCACTGGTATAGTGTCATATAAGAGTTACGCTAATTTTGTTCGCTTAGAAAGTGGTAAGTTTATATATTACCTGTTATTATTATTGTTAATATCTAATATAATAAATATATTAACGTTATGTATAAACTATAATTTATATTTTATAATTATATAAATTATATAACTTATTATAATTATATAAATTATATAACTTATTATAATTATATAATTTTATATATAATTATCAACATATAATTATATATATAATTCTACGTATAAGAATTACAATACGATGCACGTAAAGGCATATTCAATCAATTCATATCTAATCTTTCAAAACCAAGCCAAGCAATTCTTCTGGAATTATTTGAATTATTTTCTCAAGTAATGACTCAAGCTCATATAAACAAAATTCCTGCTCAAAGAGTACTCAAATCAATGGCTCATTATATTATCGGTGATAAAGAATTAAAATTTGAAAATTTTAGTGCTGCTTATACAAAATGGTTAAGATGCTCTAACGCATGTACTCATTTATTCCTCGCTTATTTACGTGAAAGAGCTTGTTCTGCTAGCCTTCCTCCTCGTTTAAATATTTTATTGGATGGTTATGTTCAATTTCGTAAAAAATCAAGATCTTCTCCTGATTATCATCATCCTTTAGCCGATATTACTATTGAAGATTTACAATTAATTATTAGACCAAAAAAACAACGCCAGAAGAATAATGTAATCCCTCGACAGATTGATTCTATAAGGAATAGTGGTCTATCTCGTCAATTCGATCCCACAAAGACTAATATCGATCCCACAAAGAATAATATCGATCCCACAAAGATTAATAATGGTGTTTCACGACGTTCCGGTCTTGTTTTAAATAATGCCTCTTTACGACAATCTAGTGCTACTTTAAATAATAATAGACAAACTAGTTCTATATTATTAAAATCAATGATTAAAAATGAACATGAAAGTATGCTTTCTAGAGGTTCATTAACCATTGCGGAAATGTTTCCTGATATTGCGGAATCTTTGGATTCTTTGAGACGAAAAACCACTTATCAAAATTTGGAAAATATTATTGATGATTCTCAAATTGCCGCTCAAAAATGGGATGAATTACAAATTAAAGGTTTTAATGTCCTTTCTGAAGAAGCTTTAAAATTATTCTTTGCTTATGATGATAGAAGTTCAAATCCTTGTGCTAGTATTGTAAGAAGACGTAGTAGAAAATTTAATAAGAAAAATTTTGATCAAAGATTTTTAGAAATTCTTCCAAATATTGAAATTGATAGTGAAACATTAAGAGATAGCTTTTTTCAATCTGGTGGAAATAATTCTAAAGTTTCTTTACGTGCAACTGTTGTATGGGATGAATTTGAAAAAAAAGGTTTTAGAGATTCTGTTGATACTAATTCAAATATCCTTAGTCTTTGTTCTACCTTAGGACCATCAACTACTTCTGTCCCTTTATCCGAAGTAACTGAAACTGAAGTAACCAATTCTGAAGTTAATGAAATTAATGAAATTAATGATCCGTTATCGCAAATTAATGAACCGCTATCGCAAATTAATGAACCGCTATCGCAAATTAATGAACCGCTATCGCAAATTAATGAAGAAATACAAATACGAACTCAAGAAAGATCTTTACCTATAAATCGTCGTCGTACTAAACGGAAAAATAAACCTTTTAGAAAAACTTTTTGCTTTTTATGTATACGTCCTGGGTCGAGTTTTTCGGGTTTTTCCGTTACAATGGAAACGGACGAAAATCAAGATGTAACAAAAGATAATTTTATGAATTCTCACGTGACCATAGAACCTATTAGCAATAATGTTCCATACATGTGGGTCGAATCTGGTGCTAATGAGAGAAATGAAAAAGAACCTTGGGAATGGGTTTTTGTCGAACCTCGAGATGAAAGACATGAACCTGAATGGATAATGTTTGAAGATAAAGGACGATTCTTTTCCGAACGAGAAAAAGATAAACGTAAAACGCGTAAAAGATCTCTTTTGAGCGCTTTAAATACTATTAACGCCAATATGCCATGGTCAAAATCTAATCGTAAAAATCGTGCAAATTCGGTTGAATTCACTCCTCAAGATGATAATAATACTTATGATCATGAAGAAGATGATGATATTATAGGACCAAATAAATTTATAAATAAGATAAAAACTTCGATTCAACAAACTCGAACAAGTCCAACAAGAATTCCACCAGAAAGTGAACTTGAATTACGGAATTCAAAAGAAAATGGTGAAGGTTCAGGTTCATCACTAATATCACATGGTGAATATTATCCTCATGATATTTACGACGATTATATAGAAGAAGAAGAAGAAGAAGAAGATATCAATGTTGTTGTACATACAAATGCTGCTATTACTTCTTCACAACGTAATATTAATGATAACATTTCTACATATGATGAGGCACCCACATCAAATATAATCAAACGACCAAATGTTTTGTCATCAGGATATGATAATCTTTCAGTTTCTTCATTGGCATATAATCAAGAACAATATAATGAACAATCTTATGTGTTAGCGAGCAGAAGAATTTTACAACCACAACAATCAAATTATCATACGCAATCAAATTATCATACGTTAACCGAAGGACCATCATATTCATCATATCAAATGCCTATTATACAATCAAAGAAACAAGAAACGAATAGGGAAATTATTAAATTTTGATAGAACAATTTTTTTTTTTTAGAATTACGGATTTTTTGTTTTTGTTTTTGTAGATAATTTTTTTCTTGGTTTTTTTTTTTTTGGTTGGGCGCGTGATAGAACAGACATTTTTCATACATAAACTAGTACTTTCTTGAGTTCTTGAACTTTATAAACTTCAATCACAACACTTTCTTTAATCCTACCTAACTGCTAATGTGTAAATCTAAATGCATTCTTTTTCTTTTTTTTTTTTTTTTTTTTTTTTTTTTTGCTATATTAACTATTAACTATACCTATACTAACGTCACTATTATTATTATTATCTTTCTCGAAACTTATTATTATCTAACTTTAATATCGATAATATATTGGTTTTCTACTACATACCAATTAATAAACATTACACCACTTATTATTTCCACAAGTCATCATTTCGATATATCGATACGTGTTAACATTTTCGAAATATGTGCATAGACGCAAGATATGCATGCATGAAAATGTTTTACGTAACGATAAATTTGTTTTTTTCTATTGGTTAAAAAAAAAATAATAATAATAAAGATTCTAAAATTCTTAGAACTCGGTTTTTTTTTTTCATGAATGAAATTATAGATCGGAAATATACACTTTGGGAAAGTTTTAATTGTTAAATTACTCAAGTTAGCTACAGTAATTTTAGATTTAGCGTTAGCCTACCTTAGCCACAATTCTTAATTTTAAATTTCGAATTCATGGAACTATATATCGATATATATATACGTAGTTTGTTTAAAGTTAAACATACAATAACATATCCATTAACGATTTATAGATAAATGCTATTTTTAAAATAATGCTTTGTATTACGTAATAATGACATATACTAATCGGCATGTGCGTACATATTTTTTGTGATATCTGATAGAAATACAGGTAAACATAAAAATAAGAATCATACTACGTACGTATGTATGTACGTACGTATAATGATAACAGATAAAGCATTACGTATCCGTACGTACGAACGTACTTACAGTACTTATGTATGGTACATATCAAACATTGATATGTATTCGAATGTACATAATATAATTTGAATAATTTTAAAAAAATAAACAATACGTATTATCAAAAAAAAAAATTAACTATCCCCCTAAATTCCGTTATCCTTAATTTGATATATAATATACATAAATAAAACGATATAAATTTGTTTATACAATTGCTAATATACAAATAAAAATTTACACACATATATACGTATTAACGTTATGTTACGTGTTAGAGGTGTTAAAGTAATTATGATTCACCAAAAAAGGAAAAAAGTTTAAAATTTTGGTTATGTATTGCAACATTTTACAAACTCATTGATCGAATTCTCCAACTTCCACCAATACTATTAGACCTTCCTGCTATACGTTCAGCCATTCCACCTCTTTGTTGCTCAGTAGGTAATCCTTTATACGTGTATCCAACAAATGCTAATGCTTTTCGCATATTTAATATATCTTTACCATGTCGTTTATCTCTTAACATAGGATCTCTTGGTTTCCTCTCACCATCAGGAGGAGCTAATGGATTATCATCGATATTATCTTCAAAGTATTTAGTATCTGTTTCATCTTTTAATCGAGGTATAAATGGTGGTGTCATTTTATGAATATTATCCCAATCAATACCTTTAAACCAAGGATGTGATTTAATATCTGATGCATCTCCTAAACCCATTACAGTAGATTTTCTATTTGCGAGATAAAGTTCATTTGGTCGAATTGTATTTTTTGAAGAACTTGAACCAAGACGAACTTCTTTTTCACAGAGTAATCTTCTAATTAGATCATGAACTATACAAATAATAATTATTATCAAAGCAAAAATTAATTTTTTAAATAATTATTATCAAACAAAATTAATTTTTAATCATTATTTATGCGTAATATTTCCTAATTTTTACCTTCACGAGAAATATAAGTTGAAGGTGGAAATCTCAGATTGTTTTGCCAATCAATAATCTTTAACCGAGTTGTATGACGAGACTTGGCACAAAATGGAGGATATCCATACAACATTTCATAAATAATTATCTAATAACAAATTGAATAAATTGAATAATAAGGTGAATATTAAGGTAAATAATAATAAGGTAAATAATGAAATTTTTTTCAGTGTCGAATAATTTACAAAATAATTTACTTACTCCAAGGCTCCACCTATGCGTATCAATATGAACAAAAAACGGGGTAAGTAAAAATATAATTGATAACAATTGACAATATAACAATTGACAATATAACAATTGACAATATAACAATTGACAATATAACAATTGACAATATAACAATTGACAATACAACAGTTGATAATATAGCAATTGATAATATAACAATTGACAATACAACAGTTGACATGACAATATAACAATTGATAATATAACTATTAGGATAAGTAGATACTTGCCAGTCACAACCTCTGCCATACCCTGATCCTCTTAAAACTTCAGGAGCCATATAATTATTAGTTCCGACAATAGAGTAAGCCATATTCTTACGATGTTTATCTCTCCAACTTAAGATACGAGTTTTAGGGACATCATTATCAGAATCAGAATCATCAGACCATTTATTTAACCATTTTGTTGATTGATACTTTTTTCCCATTAATCTTGAAAGTGTATCAGTTTCAACATCAACTCCTGTTTTACGTAAAAGATCTCGACGTTGTTGGTCGTAATATGATGAATCATGTGCCCAATGAAAATCTGTCGCCAATCCAAAATCTGAAAGTCTTATATGTCCATCTCGATCAAAAAGGAAGTTATCAGGCTAAATATAATAAACATTAGCGTTATAATTATAATAAACATTAGCGTTATTTAATTACAGTATATATAGATTAGATTATATATAGATCATTTAACGTTACCTTTATGTCACGGTGAATGTAACCCAGTTTGTGTGCCTCTTCGATACACAATACCATTTCAGCGACATAAAATTTAGCAAAATTTTCCGCAAAAGTATCTTTTTCAATAAGTAAATTCAATAAATCACCACCAGGCATATATTCCATAACAAGGTATAAATGATCAGCGTCTTGAAAAGAATAAATCAACTTTATTATCCATCTAGCCGATTCAGAAGCAGCTGTTAATAAATCCCTTTCAGCACGTAGATGACCTTCTTGACCTTTTTTTAACATATCAGCTTTTCTCATAATTTTCATGGCATATAATATACCAGTATTTTTTTCACGAACAAGTTTAACAACACCAAAAGCTCCATGACCTATTGTTTTAATCATTTGAAAAGCATTAACAGTAATTTTTTTACGTAAAATACGCATATAATCAGATTCAAGTGCAAGCCATTCTTGTCGAATTTCACGTTTATCTTTATCAGAAATTGCCATTTTTTCAAGTTCTGATTCAAGTTGTAAACGTCTTTTAGTACGTCCTGATGGTTTCTTAAGTATACCATAAAAATAATTTTCAAAATAAATTTTAGCCGCAACTGATTTTTCAATTGTAGTTAAAGATGGAACAATATTTTGTAATAATGTATCTAAATATTGATTATTTTTTAATGTTTCGGAATTCTTGATGATAAATGTTCCTGTACTGTTTTCTTGTACTCCACTAGATGAATCATTACCGTCTCTTCCAAAATGTAAATTTGGTAATGTTTTATATTGTATTGTAGTATCTAGTAACAGTATAGAATTTTACATTAAGTGATATCATTGAAAAAAGTTATAATAACTGAAAAAGTTATAATAACTGAAAAAGTTATAATAACTGAAAAGTTATAATTGATATTTTTATGCTATTTACCTGGCATTTTATTTACAGTAGGGTTCTCACTCCAATATAATAATATTTCTTGGGCTTGCTCTTCGCTTTCAGTATGAATAAGATGTCTATCAAAAATGAGATAAAAATAAATATAAAAATTATATAAAATTTTCATTTTTATAAAAGTCCAGCATAAAATACTAGAGCGAATATGGGTGTCGGACTTTCAATTATATTTTGTGTACAGTTAGCCGTCTATGAAAAATCCATCATAATGATAGATTTTTCATAGACGGCTAACTGTACACAAAATATAATTGAAAGTCCGAAGTCAGGTTTTCCCTTGGCGGCACTCATATCATAAATCAAATGACATCATACTCGAAATCAGCAGGAGATGATATATCATCTTTGTTAAAACGTCGTTTCATAAAAGTACCAAATTGTAAAGGAACTACGTAAAACAATAAATCAATATGATTTTACAAGTAATTCATTAGACATATGTTTAATTAAACACGTGAAATCATATATAATATTGACTTTAAGAATGCAATAACTGATTATTACCATTCATCCTCGATGCAACATAATCGAGAATTTCATAAAATCTTGGAGAAGTAATACCATTTCGTTTATTACCAGGTGGTGATTTTGCTCGTGGTTGAGTACCACCATTATTTATTACAGATTTTTTTTTAAACATTTTTTTTAATTAAAATTGATTTTATTGTTTAAGAAAAAATTAAATTTATCGATAAGAAAAAAAAATAGGTTGATCTCAAATCCTCTTATTAAATGAAAGATTCTTGTATCACCCATAAATAACATAAAATAGAAATCAGGGGAATTTTAAAGGCACGTACGTACAGTACGTACGTAACGTGCGTACTAAAGTTACCTATTTACGTACGTACGTAACGTATTATAGTAGTATTGTACGGAGGTAAATTCTAATAAGTTTATTTCAATTATAGAATAATTATAGAATTTAGGGAGGTTAATTCAAATGTAACTTGTAGCGCGGATCTATACGAATTTCGTATTACCAATGAGTTACGAATTTGAATATTAGGAATAGTCTCGCTAAAAGAAGGTTGAAAAAGCTTATTATATATACTATGAAATAAATTCTAATTTGAATATTCTTAGAATACAGAGATAACTGCGGTAATTCTAATAATAAATAATAATCAATTACGAAATTAATAATAGTATTCGATATTTCCGTTATAAACTATATAATTAAACTTTGCTTAATAAGGCCCCAATATAAGAAAGAATATAAGAAAGAATATAAGAAAGGATATAAGAAATAATATAAGAAAGTATATAAAAAAGAATATAAGAAAGAATATAAGAACTTGTAAAGTCTTCTTACATGTATACGTATAAGTCAAGAGTTTCTTTATACGTACATATCGAGCGTCATTTGTATAGTTAGTCTGATTCTTTAATTAAATTTAAGGAAAATTTTTCAATGCATAATTACGATATCTTTTGAAACTTTTAACGTTAATGGAAAGGGGGAAATTGTTTATCATTATCAGTTTTTAGTAATTCCATTACCAAACATTAACTCATTGTGACCCGTGATGAATCAGCTGATTTTAAATACCAAGATCACGGTTAGAAAAAAATTTTTTTTTTACCCCTCATTCTTTTTTATATTATGTCAAAAATTAAAATTGATCGTACAAAGGATGTTCAAATAGATGAAGATGTCAATTTTGAATCCTTGATTACAAATCAAAACATATTACGTGGATTAATAGAAGCAGGTTATGATCGTCCTTCTCCAATTCAATTAAAAGCTGTTCCTCCAGGAAAACTAGGGCTTGATGTTATTGCTCAAGCAAAATCAGGAACTGGAAAAACTATAGTATTTGGCGTGATCGCATTGGAAATGTTGAATTTGAGTAATACTAGACCCCAGGTTTATATATTTCTTGTTAACACTTTTGTTATCGATTTATTATTAACGATTTATCACAATAATTTACAATTATTTAAATTTATTTAATTTATTTATTTTCGATTTATAGGTATTGATTTTAGCACCTACCAGAGAAATAGCCGTACAAACAAAAGAAGTCATTTCAAACATTGGTCGTTATATGGTTGGTCTGGTTTGTCATGTATTTATTGGGGGAATTCCTGTTGAAGAAGACATCCCAAAACTTAAAAAATGTCATATAGCAATTGGATCTCCTGGTAATTTTTATTTTTGGATTTAATGTAATAATTATTAACTCAATTAATAATGAACTCAAAATTAACAATGTTCTCATATTAGGTCGTATTGGTCTTTTATTAAGCAAGCAAATGACTGCTAAAGACATCAAGCTACTTGTGTTTGATGAGGCTGATAAATTAATGGAAAGCAATTTTGTGCCTCAATTAAAGTATTAATTCAAATTTATTTATCTATTTATTTATTTATTTATCTTTGGCATTATTTTTAATTATATATATTTGTTAAATTTATATAGAAAAATAAATGATAAACTTCCAAAAATTAAGCAAGTACTTGCATTTTCTGCAACATATGATAAAGCTTTGTTAAAAACTCTTGAAAAGTTTGTTTACAATCCGTATCATATCATGCTTTCGGAAGATACTCCAGCTCTGGAAGGTAAATCAATTATTGATTTATTCATATTCATTATATATATTTTTTTGTTATTTTAAAATAAATGTTTTTATCTTTAGGTGTACTGCAGTATTACCAAATAATAGAAATTCCAAATACGACCAATGTCACTGAAAAGTTCAAATTTTATGAAGAAAAGTTCAGAAAGTTGGTGGATCTTTTGAGTCGTGTTCCGTTCTATCAGTGCATTGTCTTTTTAAATCATCGGGGAAGGTGATTATTTATTATCAATGTTTGTTTTATATGTTTAATATGTTAAATATGTTTTATATATTTAATATATTTAATATATTAAATATGGTAAACATGTTTTATATGCTTAATATGCTTAATATGCTTAATATGTTAAATATGCTAATATGGTTAATTTAAATCCATATCTATATAGGGCTGTTGATCTGGCAAATTATTTAACAAGCCAAGGGTGGATGGCAATGAATATATCAGGCATGATGGTGTGAAATTTTACTAGTATTTATTTTCGATTCTGTACAATGTACTGATATATATGCATAGGCGGACTTGATCAAAGAGTGCGTCTTGAAACAATGTCTAAGGCTCGTAATTTTCAATTAAGAGTCCTTGTTTGCAGTGATTTGGTATGCAATAATCTGAATGTTTAAAACGTTTATGATGTTTGTGATGTTTTGTGAATATCCTTATTTATTTTATTTCTTTAATGAAAGATTGCCAGAGGTATTGATATTGATAGAGTAAATTTGGTGATAAACCTTGATATGCCAAAGGATGCTGAAACTTATCTGCATCGCGTTGGCAGGACTGGGCGTTATGGTAATTATTTCAGTACTTTATAAATGATATATCATTGCGATAATAATATTTAATTAAACTGATTATTAATAGGAACTCACGGACTAGCGATTAGTTTTGTTGATATTAATGAGTTGGAATTTATTGAATCTTTGAAAACAAATTATCATGTTGATGTTCAACCTCTTCCTGGTAAATTTCTCTTTTAATTTCTTTGGTATATTACATAATTTAAAATATATATATATATATATTAATTGTAATTGTAATTTAGATGAAATTTCATTTAAGCATCATCAAAGACCGTTGGCAACCGAAAATGATCAAGAAGCATATGAAAACTTGTTAAATATAAGGCAAACAATAAAAGTATGCTAAATATTATAAATAATGATTTATGATTACAAGTTATCTATTTCTTGATTGATAATGTTATTTATCTAAAATCTAAAATTCCTAGACTCAAAATCCTGAAGTTCCACCAGTAGTATTCTCTGAAGATACAAATTCAAAGATCAAACAAACTAAATCAAAAGTGCAAAAAGAGCCAGAAGAGATTGAAGAAACATCTTATTACCCATACTATGATACTTATAACACTGATTATTATAATTGGATGCATAATACTTATAACACTGATTATTATAATTGGATGTATAATACTTATAATCCTGATTATTATAATTGGATGTATAATTCCTATAATACTGATTATTATAATTGGATGTATAATGTAACACCTGATGGAACTGGTGAATATTATAACAATAATGATTTTATACCACCTGATCTTTCTTTTTAAAAGCTTCTACAATTCGGAAATTCTTTTGAAATTCTCGGAATCTTTGTAAAAAAAAATTATAACTGAAATTATTGTCTCCCTGAGATTTTCTTTATCAGAATATTCTGTTAAATATTTGATATTTCGATTTTGCCCATTTCTAATTATTAACAATGCACTTGAAAATGACAATGGGTTTTTATTGTAATTGGCTGATTTTTGTAGATCATCCCGTGATATTGCAAAAATATCATTGGTTAATCGAAATTATTCGCAAGGCAATATTTTATACGAAACTAATTACCGTAACGACCAAATATTCATTACTGTATAAAGTTAAATTGTATTAATAAACGCATACTGCGAAATTTAACAACTCAAAGTCTAAGAACTTCACCTGATACAAAAAAAAAAACCATTACACAGATAACGATCAGTGGATCTGCACATCCTTCATTTAATTGTATTCAATAACAATTTTATCATTTCTAGTAAATAAAACAAAAAGCATAATAAATCATGACACAATCTTTTTCAAATGACTCTTATATTCATTATTAAACAAATATTCAATATATATACTACTTTCATATACTTTATGTTAATAAATCTGAACAAATACTTGAGATGCTTTAAAAGCTTGTGAAATTGGTAGCCATTTTCCTATTTATTTTATGAAATCTGTTTTAAAGATTAATATGTATGACCATTTTATATAGCAAACTTGCTTTATAAAGTATGTTTTAAGTCAAATTTTATTTGCTAGCAGAATTCACGTGCACTTACTATATAATGACGTACGTATCTATCCATTTAAAGAATTTCTAGAAATTCTAGAACCATGACAATAGAAATTTCGAAAGATTAGATAGTTTGTCAGGTGATTGCAATAATTAATATAATTCTGGTTACGAATTAACTTCCCGAAATCAATTTCACTGAAATGCCATTTCTCCGAAACCATAATATTGACAATCCATTTTACTAACAATTCATGATGTCGATATCTCATTTTCCTGAATTATAATTTAATTAGTTATAAATTTCTTCGATAAGTCATTTACCTGCAATTTTCATTTCACTAAATATTAACGTTAAAAACCGAATGTCTGTTTTACCGAAATATCATTTTCCGAATAATACTTTTTCTGATCTATTTCTTTGAAAATATATATTATAGAAAGTTCTTTACTAAAATATATCATAAAATATTTGTCGAAGAAAAGGCTGTCAGAAATATTCTTGTCAGAGAAATAGAAGTTCAGCGAAAGAGTTTTGTCGGTGAAAAAGATTGTTGGTAAATTTCTTGCAGAAGCTAAGATTGGGAAATGGTCGTATCGAGCAAAAACCATTCATTAAAATTTTCTATCGGTGAAATAGACCGGTCATAAATATGTCTTATTAGGAAAAAGGGATATCAGAATTATATAAGGTCGGAGAAATAGTATTTCGAGAAGGTGGGTTTCGGAAAAGTGAGAATCAACGAAATAATGTATTGCCTGAGCAATTAGAGAAGAATTGACTCAAATCCGCAATATTATTAGTTAAGTTCATTATATTAAACAGAATTTATTAGAAACACCTTATTTTGTCTACTGCCATTTTACCTACATACGTATGTACAAACCATTTAATCTATATCATACAGGTAATAATTTTACTAACAATATATAGCTGCCGATGTAGATTAAATGGCTATAGATGAACGGCTTCAAGGAAATGAGTACCGTAAATCCGCGAAATAACGATTATAGGCGCTATTTCGAAAATCGGGTTCTTTAAAAATAGCATTTGTGTTTTCGAAATAACGCCATGGGCGTCCCGAAATAACATGCATCTCATATGAGTCCTCGGGAAATCAAGTTTATAACTTATCGGACTTAGCATTAATCCCTGAAAAATTACGTATCATATACAACTATTAGATTTTCGGAAACTAAGTTATAAAGCTTACATTTCCGAGATCACATTTTTCCTGATGTAACCCATCTAATATATTAGCATATTATAATATAATATAACTCGGAAATTGGCCTTTGACTCAAAATAACGCACATGCGTGTATTCGAACATATAGATGTTCAAAATAACGCGCAGGTGTGCATTATTCTGTGGGTTTATGGTACACCGGATTTATTATAATGTGTCTGAATCATGATCTATTATATCAAAGTTTTATTTACTGTAGTCTCCATTATACTGAAAATACTGAGTTTGTTTATCATGTGTTACTATGTATTGGTAATTATTGATTGGATTCACTAGGATGAGACAAACAGAACAAGAGGTTGTATTTAGAGTAGGGTTGTTAATGGGTTGTGTTAGATTGGGTTAAGTTGGATTAACTTAATTTTTAACTAACTCTATTATATTAGACTTACTCTAATATTTATTTTCCTATAAAAAAAATTAAAACCATATTCAGAATTTGCTTGTGTTTGTGTATTTTTTTAAAAGATAAGCATTTTCTATAACAAAAAATATATACAAAGCCTTTAAAATTTTCAGAATATTTTTAAATTTTTTGAAAATTTTTGAAGCCTTGCAAATTTCTGATTATAATTTTTATCAAGCAAAAAATTATAATCAGGAAATTAACTAAGTTTTAAAATATTTAGAAAATTTGAAAATATTCAGAAAATTTTACAGGATTTATAAGATTTTTGTTATGGAAAATGCTCATCTCTTAAAAAATAATCTGAGCAATGTTTGTATATAATTTTAAAAAATTTTTATAGGATTTTAGCTCAAATTTAAAGATATAATTTTAAACTTACTCTAACTTGATTCAAGTTTTATTCTAGAATGTTTCAAAGTAAGCTACTTATTAACAACTTTTAGAAAAGTCTGATTATAATTAGTACTAAATTTAGAATTTAATCATTATTCATTTTATAAGGTTAGGTATAATATAAAATCAAAATAATAGTTTTTGTAATTAGAATTAGTGTTAAATAAATATAAAAAATGGGTTTATAGTAAAATCTTGCAAGAAATTTTTTTTGTTAGAATCCAAAAAGTAGTTGCATATGTAAACTTTTGAGTTATAAGCAATTTTTGGCAAAATGAACATTTGTTTTAAATTTTTCTGATTGTATAATGTTACATCTGAACTTAATTTTAATTGGTTAATCAGATGTGCATTACAATGAATATGCACTAAATTATATAGTCTTTAAATTTATTATTTAGTCTAATATTAACTTTTGTAATTTAGAAAATTTTTTATAAGTATAATAAGAATTTGTAATATTATATTATTATTAAAGAGAAAAAATTAGATAATAATTTTACAGATTAAATATAGACTGATTAGATATCTATTAGAATACTAATAAATTTCAATAATTAATTTAATTAAATCTAATAAAAGTTTTTAAAAAAAAGCCTATAATTATTTAATAAATTTTTAATTATAGTTTGGTAATTGGTTTAAATAAGAGATTTTTTAAAAGTTTATTAAATAATATTTAGATATTCTATAAAATAGGTATGCAATATAAGAAATAAGCTTTGCTAATAATTAGTAATCAATAATTTTTTAATAGTAAAGTTGCAGAATTTGTAGAGTTTGTATATCTATTTTATATTAGTAATCTGAAAGATATTTTAATTTAATTTATTTTTCAAAAAAATTTACTAAATATTATATTTATTAAGCTAATTTTTAATATTATTAGTATAATTAATTATAGATATTTTATTGTTTTTTTTTTTTTTTTTAATCTTCAAAGGTGAGGCCATGCTTCTATCTTTATTAAAATCCAATTAAACTTCTTTACAAATAAAGATAAAGAAATTACATTATTTGAACTTTATATCTATAAGATACTAAGACTAGAGACTCAGACAGAGCCCTTGCTAACTCAAAGGTTATAGGAGTTATCTGTGACCTAAACCTATAGATATTTTATTGTTTTATATTATTAATTTATATTTAACTAATTATATTTTATTAAATATATTATACTTAATAGTTTTCTAAGTAATAAATAATTAAATTTATTTAATAAATCTACTGTATAACCTTTTTAAATCTAAGATCTTGCTTAAATCTTTTATCTATTTTTATTACTTTTTTTTATAGTTTTTTTGTATTTGGATTTTTCTATTTATATTAATTAATCAACCTTGTTTTTCTTTTTCTTTGTTTGTTTTGACTTTTAAAATACTTTTTATTATAGTTCTTGTCTTTTTCTTTAAAGTTAAATTTTACTAATATTGTTTTTTTACAATTTTTCTAGATTTTTTATATATTTTCTTTTCTGTTACATACTTTATACTTTTATATAATTTATTTGTTTTTCTTTATTCTAAACTTTGCTATTAATTTTAACTCCTATTATATAAATTTTATTCTTTTGTATACATTATAATTTTTTAAAACTTTTCTAATTACTGTTTAGATTCTTTATTATATCTTGTTTTTATCTTTAATTCTAAATTTTTTTATTTTTTAAAAATCTTTTGAATTTGATATTTATTTTTTATATCTTGACTTTTGTTTGCTTAGTTTTGCTTTGCTTTCTTAATGTTTTTTTATCTTTGTTTTTTTTGATCTTTGTTTTTTTGATCTTTGTATATTATTTTATATCTTTATGTACTGTATTTTAACTGTATTGCTAAAATGCTTTGTTAATTTTTTTATAATATTTATTATAATATTTTTATTTATTAATTTATTTTTTTTAATGTTTTATTTATTTTGGTTTAACTATTATTTGTATAAAACTATTTCATATAAGATTTTTGATTATATTTTGTTTGTATATTGTTGATATCTGTATATAATTTCAAATATACTCTTTAGATTAGAGTTTTGTCTTGTTTAATCTTTTTATCTTGTAATAGCTTGGCTTCTTTATGTAAATCTATAATATTTACTCTTTATAACCTTCTGTATTTCTGTAGTAATTTTTTTCTATACATTTCTTGTATTGATTCTTTCTAGAACTTTCTATAAGTAAAAATTTTCAGGGGCGTTACAAACGGAAAATACAGAAACTACATTTGATATTTTT